TTGAAGATAGTCCATTTTGTACCAAGTTCAGACATGTCCGTCTACATCAAGTGGCACTCTGCATGTTGCCTCAGCTCTTGCAGAGCAATACGTTTTGATGAGCTTAAGTCACATATTTAGCTTCTGGTCATCAAGGGTAGAATAATTATGGCTAAAGACACGCCACATATTTTGGAAAGGGTCCGTGGTGATTTTTTTTAACCATGCTTATGAATGTAGCTTTTCAACCCATCTTCTACATGGGTGTTAGGAAGCTGAATCTGGACTTAGCCATCATTTCTTCCTCTAATCATGCACTGGGTTGTTGGGTGGCTTTAAATAGCCTGTGCGCATACACAGTCTCTTGGACCGGGGCACTCGGAAATTGTGGAAATGTTTACCTTTCAGAAAGTAGTGTTTTAGAGAACGAACACCGTCTCCCTGACACTGGCAACGGGGAAGATGAGACTCGGTCTGTCTGCTGTAAGATCTTTCCTCCTTGGACTATACAGTTGCAGAATTGTGTTGGAAGGGGCCGGCAAGTCAACACCCTGCTCCATGCAAGAATGCAACTCAAAGCATGAGAGATGTGTAAATGATTAGTTATTGTTGTTTTCTCTCCAGGCTCCATGCTGAGAGCATTTGGACTGAGCTCAGTGAGGTGTCTTCTGCATCTGTCCCTTGTACTACAGATGTTCATGTTTTTTCTTGATCGCTCCCTGCATCCCGAATGATACTGCACACAAGCACCACTCAGTCTGAGACTGCCAATGTCCAAATGAAAGCAACCAGTTCTCGGTGTCCTTGCCAAGGTTTTCCTCCTTGACTTTAGTGCTACTCATAAACCTGCTCATAACAGCACGGGACACTTCTAAATGAATAAGCTATGGTAGATGTGTGCTTACCACTTCAAGCATATCTCTTGCTGTGAGAATAAAGAGGAATATACTTAGTGTAAGGTCTTCAACTGCAGGAAGAGCTGCTTAGGACAACAGAGCCTAAAACACAGATGTACTTTGTGCTGCTACTCATGTCCATCCTTTGCCCTCCTATTTTTGTCCCCGCAGTCCCACCAGGTTTGGGGGAGATATTCCTCTCTCACCCCTCCCCTCCCTATTAGAGACAGAGGCTGTTTGTATTCTTGGCTGGGCTGGGGGATAGTTTCCTGCTGGCAGAAAACATGTAACTGCAGGAAATTCTTCCCTTGAAGGCTGTCTTTGTGTTGGGCTATTTTCTGGTTGGCTGTTATGGGAGAGATCCTGCAGCTGGAAATAGTTTTGGGGGAGTTGCTCTGTTGATCTTTTGTCACAAAACAACCAAGCAACTTGCAGCACCTTAAAGACCAACCTCTTCCTGGAAACTTTGTAGTCCTTCAGATTCAGGAACTCATGCAAAGCTAAGAGGGCACTGGGCATTTTCTCATCTGGCTTTCAAAATGGGTTGCATCAGGTTCTCCATTTAAAGCCTCCATGGTTTTGACCATATTTCCCTGTTGGTGTTCTTGTTGGTAGTCAATTTACATATGAGTAGGAGGGAGTACCTGTGGGTGATTTCTGGTGTCAAAACATTAGAACTAACTGGAGAATAAATGCAAAAATAAAAGTAAAATTGCCAATCCCCACTTTGCTTCCATGGCACTAGGATTCAACTCCAGGGTGTGAAGGGTCTGTGGATGGTTGACTTAAAGGCCTGGCTTTTGCTAGTGAGTTTTTACCTTCTTTCCACCACCTTGCATGAAATGGATAGGTGCCAGCCCAGCTTTCTCTCCTGGGAGCCCAGCAAACCTTTCACACCTAGCTATGAAATGAGTGTAGGAATCAAGCACATGGCTATGGACCTCCTACGCTTTTCTTATGCTTTTGTCTGCCTTTGCTATCCCCATCCCCCCAATATCTTCCTGATGAGTAGGAAGCCATAGGATATGGCCTGGGGCGCCAAATGTCTGGTGCTGACATGTCTCTAGAGACCCTCCCTGAATGAGTAACTCTGTCTTTCAATGAACCCCTTCTTCGCTCTTCTAACTAAAGGAACATCTTGGTTTTCTATTTAACCTTTCTTGTTCTTTGCTGATGTTCTGGGTTCGCTGAAATGCCAGGTCGTCTTAGATGCAGTTTTTTGCCATGACATTCTTGCTGTATCCCTTTCTACACAAGTGGACAACCCTTTGATTCAAGCTTGGAGCTGAGGGTTGGGGGGGCTGTCCTTGGATATTATTTTCTACCCCTAACATTTAACTCATGTTAAAAAGATAAGTTTCAGTCTATTTTGGGGGTTCCCCCTGCCCAACTGTTGGGATACTGGGTGTCCCAGTGAATGTTACAAAGGTACAAAGTGGGTGGGGCCAAGATTTTCTTGGGGGTTTTGGGTGGTGGCTTCTTCACTTTTCAAAAATATAGGAAGCCTATTAAGCTTTAACTATGTTTTTTTTACTGTTTCTCATCTCAAAATGGTATTGGTACACAGTCCTTGTTGATTGCTGTTGATATCTACCTGTTGCTCACCTCTAAATATATTTCAATATGATCAGAACTGTTGGCCATTAAAATTTCCCCAAATGTTTCCAGCATGATTTTGGAACAGGGACCACCATTTAAATTTAAATTTCTTCCAGTGATGCATGGTGAGACATGCAAATAGTGGATAAACCCAGTTGCACAGAGCTGATTTCAGTCTGCAGTAGATATGGTCAAATGAGATGGTCTTTGTGCATGTATGAGATGCACCAGAAATAACTGAGCAAATGCCCCTCGGAGCCTGAGTTTGACTTGAGAGACATTTAGGCTGAGTTTATACCTTGTGCTAAGCTAAAGCCAAACATACTGTATTGAACTTAACACATAGAGTGAATCTGGCCACAGTGGCTTGTAAAATGTGACTTATGACTTAGCCATTGAGGCATATTTAACAAATCATAGTTATTCCAAATATAACAGTGTAGGATTAGCTAACCCATAGATCCCAAGCCCCCCTGAAACCATTTGTGTGACTTCTGGAATTTTTCAAAATCATGTCATTGAAGTTCAGTGACAAAACTGCAATTTATTTTTTGTTTCTTTTTTTTGGTTTCAGTAGTTGCATTAAATATTTGGTAGGCTTCTACCATGTGTCTGAACAATCCCTGAAGACATCTCCTCCTGGCACAAACTTTAAAAAACAGGTTTAAAATCTCAGTCTATCCTCTCCAGGGCTCTCACTGTATCATCAGTGGACCTTAAAGACCCCAAAAAGTGTCCGCTTCTGATTAAGCACAACGTACGAATCCTTGGGCTGCCTTATGACTGATTCACATACACACGCTTGTTGCTTGATTGCTTCATTGAGTGGCATGTGTGAACTTCAACCACAAATTTGGGGGGGGGGAATCTTTGTATAATACCTTTGGAGGAATCACTGGTATGACTTAGGTGCAAAGTATTTTGGAGAGATGAGTTCATGTCTAGTTGCTGACGGTTGTGTAGAAAAATCACACGATGAACCTCTGAAGGGCATGTCTTGCATTTCCCAAGGCTTTTTACCAAGCAGATGATGTGGCAATCGCTTTTGCTGGATGAGGTGGGTGGGGGTGTGTCTGTTTATGCAGCCATTGTGTGTATGATCGGAACGCTACTTATTTCCAGTTGAGCAGTTACGATTGCCATTATTGGAATGAAGAGACATCCCTATAGCTTTCCTTTGTCTGATTTCCTGTCTCATTCATCTTCCCAAAAATCTCAAGCCCCTGTTGTCCTCACCTGATAGCTCAGAATCAAGGAGATGATCCTGCCCAAGGCAGAGCTCAGGTAATAAATGGCCATCATTCAGACCATGGCAGAGGAAGAGTGGGATTCTAGCACCATGGCTAGAATACTTATCTCAGCTTCCTCTCCTTGGAGGCAGCTGCTCCAGCAGGTTTTATAGCTCAGAGAGGATAGCCCTGGTGGTTGCTAGTTCTGGCTTTAGCACCTCCTGTGAAATAACTAAGTATCGTGTGTGTGTGTGTGTTTTAATCTGTTCAATGTGTCTGCTTCTTGGAGACTGCCTGGACAAGTCCCTGCAGTTTTCTTTACAGGGTTTTTTAGAAGTGGTTTGCCATTGCCTCTTTCCTAGGGCTGAGAGAAAGTGACTGGCCCAAGGTCACCCAGCTGGCTTCATGCCTAAGGTGGGACTAGAACTCACACTCTCCCGGTTTCTAGCTTGATGCCTTAACCACTACACCAAACTGGCTGTAGTATCATATATATTTATAGCTCAGTATTATATAAAGAAAGAAACGGACAGGAACACCTAACGCATTTGCTAAACATCCTTATTATTTCAGAAGAATCATTCACTGAGAGGTAGGAGTTCTTTAATTCACCCAAAAATATAATTCAATGGTGAACCATCATAGCATGGTGCTGCTTATTTCTGTTGTCAATGAAGCCTTCATGTGGTGCATTGAAAAAAAATATTGTCTAAGATTTTGTCATTTAGAGTACTTTTCTGTACCTCTAAGCAAAACTTGCTTTAAGACTGCAATGTACATTGCTGTTATGGTTGACACTATCCTACAAAGCTTTTTAGATTGAGAAATTGACGGGGCTCACATGTTACACTAAACTACAACTATATTTGTTTAGCTTTGGTATATACCATGTGGTGTGAACCCAGCTACTGTGGCTTTGTAAATCAGGGTAATAGTTAAAGATTACATATGAACTCAACTGTGGCTTGTTGAGATCATGGTAAAAACAAACTCTCGCTTAGCACAGTGGATGAACTCAGTGGCTGGGTCTACATGACATGCTATCCCTGATTAACTTAATCATGGTTTAGTCAATCCACCTTTCTGGGTTTGGATGACCCGTTGAACTATAAACAACCCCATGGGCTGAGCTAGACTAACATGTAGTTGGCTACTATGGTTCAGCATGTCATGTCAAGGCAGCTAGCCAGTGGCTTATTCAGTAAGCCTGATTAAAACTAACGATGGCTTTGCACAATCTGTAAAATTAGGAGTGCTTTCTCTAAAGCTATTATGTACCTCAGCTTTCCCCAACCTTGTATTCTCTGAGCACTGGAAGAAAAGCTTCCAGAACCCTCAGAAGTTCTGCTTTCCAAAATTCTAGGAGCCCAGTATATCCAGATGATCTCAGGTTAGGGAAATTTGAGGTAGGTCCATGGCTGGATAAGGCTTCAGTTTCCAAATGATATATTCTGGGCCTGCAGCTTCTTCAGATCAAGGGTGGATCTTGACTTGCCTTTCCAAAATAGCTAGCTTCCAACCTCCAACTCTGCCTTCTATACCCCTATATGTCAGGGACCAGTGAGATACAGTGCAAACTGGATGGACCACATCTCAAGGGTGTGGGCCTGAAGGTGTTTTATCTGATTAGGACTGCAGAGAGCTTGGGACTTTTTGCACTGAGCTTGTTTCCTTGTTGGGTGATTGTGGCTAGCAAAAAGGAACTTGCAGCCTTCATTGATTGGTAGATGTGAACGTGTGACAGGAAGGCAAATGTTCGTCATGCCATGTAGCTCAACAGGGCCCATCTAATTTTCTAGTTCCCTTTCTAGAGACACTCTCTGCAGGCTATGCAAGACGGTAGTCGGGCTTCACAACTTGCTGAATAGGCACTTGGAATAGCTGCTGTTCCTATTTGGGGGGGTTGTAGAGGTAAGACCGTGATTTGGGGCATCTCAGACCATCTGTAGAATGTGACTGAATGAGATTTAGGGGTTCTGTCCTTGCAAGGAAATGGGGAATTGCATGATGGCTACATGGGCAGAGACTGGACTTCAGCATTATGTCAAGTGCTGGAGAATGATTTCAAAAAAGCTATCCCAATATTCTTAGAAAAGAAATAAATGGCTGAAGGATGTCTTTTTTCTTTCTTTTTTGGGGGTGGGGAAGAACTCTTCTTGAATTGTTAGAAAACTTCACCACCCCTAAAAAATACTTTGTGAAATCCTCTCTACATCCCCACAATTCTATCACTTGCAGAGGATGGAGAATTTGGGGTGCATTTTTAAAAAAAACATTAAAAAGTAATTTTATGATAATTGAAGGAAGGAAAGGGCTTTGCTTGTAACTATTCCAATTCGCTTGACCCATTTCTTCCTCCTTTTGTCAGAACCAACATTTTGTTCGTTGCTAATTGCACTGAAGTATTTTAGCAGAGAAAACGTGGTAAAAAATTGAGATTTTACAAGCAGAATGGAGATTTTGGAGGGCATTTTACCAATATTTGATAGAACTAACTGGCAGAGAGAATTGGTTTGATTTGAAGAACTTCTTTTTGTTTCATTCACCTTGTTCATCCTACTTGCAAACTAGATCCAGTTCTGGTGTATGTTCTTAGCTAAATATGTTCATGTGGTGTGGGGAGAGTGCTTTGTTTTCATGAGAAGTATAACTGTGAATTGGGAGCTTGCTGTATTAATCTGTAACTTCTGTCATCAGTAAAACTGTCTTCTGCTCATGGCTTCTGCTGTCTTCTGATTTTTGGAGAAAGTGTGGAACCTATGGTTTCCCACCTCCAATACACCACATTGTATATATGGGGAAAAAAATTGCTTTGGCATAAATACTTCCTGATCTTCTCTGTGTAGGTTTCATGATTAACCACTCTTTATTGCATGTTCTTCATAGAAATATTCTCCTACCTCAAAGAGTTGGGTGAACCTTTTTTTCTTCCTTCAGGCCTACAGGGTGCCGTGGTCACCTTTCCACCTCTAGTGAATTGCCATGTCGGTGAGCGTGAATCTCACTGGCCCAGCTCCCTGGGGGTTCCGGATTACAGGAGGAAGGGACTTCAGAAAACCCATCATCGTATCTAAGGTAAGCAAAGCATCCCTCTGGTCAGTGCCGTATGGTCTAGATATGTACTTCTGGGACACGAATGGAATTCTAATGTTTATTAGAAATCTAATGAAGTTACGTTTCTTCTCCTGCTGGCCATCCATATTATGTGGAAAATTCTAGCCTTTGAACTCTGAGGAATATCCTGTATGAGGAAATTCTGACGGCATAACTTATTATATTAACTCACTTTCTCGGTTCACACAGTGCACTAACTCAGTCTTGAACTTGATGCACTTCTGCCTGAAAATTCATATCTTCCATATCCAATTTCCCTGCTTCTCCCACTCCCTTAGAATGACTCTTGTGAAAGGAAGTAAGAAACTTTCCTCTCAGCCATAGCACACTAGCTCCCTTTGTCTCCTGCCAGAATAACTCCTATCTCTAGCCCTTGTTTCTCACAGGGCTTTGGACAACCTTCTCCAACCCATGGTTTTCCAGCTGTGTTTTGACTGCAGATCCATGAACTCCCTGCCAGAAATTTCTGAGCGTTGCAATCCTGGCACATCTAGAGGGTGCTCAGATTGAGTAGTTACAGCTGTTCCATCTTTCCCCATATATTTCAGCAAAGGTTGAGACTTGGTCTTCCCCACCATTATGGACAAACCTGCTGTTCTGCACCTTGAACTGTTAAGGCTAAAATGCTAGCTAGGATGGATGATTAATCTGGCCCAGAAGTGAAATGAAACAGGTGTGGTACATTGGCATAGTACTCTAAGCCAGGGTTTCTTCAAACAGGATTTGCCAAGCAAGCCACAATTGTCTGGGTTCACACATCATGCTAAGCCATGGAATCATCGTTTGCAAACCACAATGACTGGATTCAGAAATCACAATAAGCCAGAAGCCGTGGTTTCCAACTATAATAGCTAGACCTACACAACATACTAGGCCCAAACTAAATATGTTGCATTATGGCTTATCATGATATGTGAACCAAACATGTGGTTGTTATTAAAGCAAAAAATGGCACAAATGGCGAGTGCAAGTGTTTTGATGCCATTACCCACAGACCTAGGTTTTGGTCGAAATTGTAGCTGGAGGCTACAGTGGGCCTTAATCCAAGACAGTGCCGTCATAGTCTCTCCAACCAACAACATTCTTTTGCTAGGAGCTCTGAATGGAATTTCCTATAGAGAGGTGAACAAGAAGAGCTTGACCAGCTTGGCAGTTCCTGCACTGAACGTCTGTGGGATTGTGCAGGACATCCTGGAATGCTGAGCATTTCTTGCTGTCTCTCGGGATTCCAAATTTGGTTGGGGCAAAGACTGTCAAGGAGGTCTCTTTGGATGGGCATTGAGCCAAGCATGTCCTTCCAGTCTAATGGAGAGAACAGATCCTGTTCACCATTTTTTTAAAAAAGAATTCCTCTTCCTGGGAATGGAATCAAAGCGTTGCCTGCGTGCAAGAGGGGTTTCATAGATTTCTTTCCCAGTCTTGTCTTTGGGGTTGATCGAGGGAGTTTCCCTTGCTTGATTGAAAGGGCCAGGAAGTAGATATGCTACCCAGTTGGTCTACTGGGACAGAAGAACTGGGTGCAAGCCCAAGGCCCCATACTTCAAACTGATTATCTTGCACCTTTTTATTGTTTGCAAAACTCTCCCCTCACTGGTTGGTTGGCTCTTCCTTTCTCTCTGCTCCTATTGTTCCCCAGGAAAGGAAAAAGACGCCTAGTAGGAAATACTGGCCTGTTCTCAAATAATGTGTTTGGAGTTCTGAACCCTCTTCTCACTGGCAGTGCTGCTCTTTCTGCTCACGTACCTTGGCTTTCTGGGTAGAGCATAGGGAAAATAGAGAATCTTCTATAGCATTCCTATGGAAATATAAACATATATAGAGTTAAGAAAATAATAATGCTAGGAACTAATGGCGGAAGTTGCTGAAGCAAAGTTGGGGTCCAGGTCAGTGTCTGGTTGGGGAACCCTCTTCCTGCTGCTTTCAGTTGTCAGCCCTTCAAGGTAAACCAGACTAGGAAACCAAAGTCATGCATACGTTTGACTGCAAAGTCATGCATACAAAGTCATGCTACTTTTATTAGAAGGTGAGAGCCCCAGACTCTTGTAAGTCTGAATGCACTTTCCCCCTCCCTGCCTTTTTTTTCCTGAGAAGTAGGGAGGGTCTTGTCTGAGACACTTTCTCAAATTATATTTCTGCCCCAGACTCAGATTTCTTTCATCTGACTGTGGGCTTGGTGGTGGCTCTTCTTCCCTTTCCTCAAGGTGATTCCTCCTGCCCATTACTTGAGTTTAGAAATGAAACAAAGACAGTATAAATACGTTTCCAGAACGGTCGGTGGAGTCCCTTCATTTTTCTATTGGGGATGGTAAGGACTTCTTTACATGCCTGGAGTGATTTCAGAGAATGTGTTTTTCCTGCCACATCCCTTGCGGTGCTTTAGATTACAGTGTTGGGAGGATGAAACTACATTTTAGCCAACAGTTTTGCGTAGAAGTTTTAGTCTGCTTTTGCTTACGCAACTATTTGTCTAGAAACCAGCAAAGTGAGGGGAGACCACAGCTTTTTTTAAAAAAAAAATTTATACTTCCTGCTCACTGTTGTCTCCGAAATACTCTTCGCCTGTGGAGACCAGTCAGGGGTTCAAGTGAGTTAGGTCTGACTCACTCCAGGCGACTTGACCTGGCAGATGAAACCCCCCTTTTCTGGCTGGCAGGCTGATCTCTGGCTCTACATTAATGAACAGAGCAGCTTTGTACAACGTCCAAACTAGCCTCCCCTCAATGTGCTACAACTCATACAGTTTTAAGCCAGAGGCCAGGCACATATGGGCACCACATTAGCTGTTCCAGATATGAATGCATGGCATGTAGGTTTCTACTTACATTACTGGGGGATGGTATAGAGGGAAAAGGAGACTCACATGGAAAAAATGCACATCACCGGGGGGAAAAGTAGTCCTCGTGGTCCAAAAGGAGCTTTCGTTTACTTTTGCAAATTTAATTCTACCATTTTTTGGAGGGGGTCCCTCGGGAATAATTAGAAATTTTTAATTAAACATAGCATTGCAAATCCATTAATATGTTCAGGCACAGGGACTCTTGTGGGGGTGAAGTTAGCCCATATTACTAATTAATCCAGAGAAATATTGAGTGCAGATCCTTGTTTGGATCCTGGAGAAAGACAGATTTAGTAAAAACAAAGAGCATGAATTTTCTGTTTCCATTGGCTACAGGAACATATGATGTCTCCCATACATTCTAGGATTCTGCCTCGGCATAGTTAAGGAGATAGGAATGTTTTTTCCAGCAAACTCATTTCGATTATAGGTATATCTTCTTTTCTTTATGCTATGCACAGGTGATAGAGCATGGCAAAGCAGCCCTAGGTGATCTTCGACCTGGAGATGTCATAATTTCTATCAATGGGGAGAGTACTTCTGAGATGCTTAATGTGGAGGCACAGAACAAGATAAAGCAGAGCTCTGGGCAGCTGCAACTCCAGGTGGACAGGTGAGTTTACCAAAAATGAAGACTGAATTACCTGCAGAGCTAAGTGCTCAGTCACTCTCTTTCCCACAGGTAACTTTAATAGCAGCTCCCAAGCTCAGAGGCATCATTTGTGCAATACATTACAATGTGATTGATTAGCCATCTCCAATGGAAAGCAAACTTGGCCTGCTGATCTCCCTGGCATTCCCATTCCTGTGGTTGAAATCCAGGGAATGGGAGGCAGGCCTCGGCAGGCTTCAGAACCTCACTGAAGTTTTCCGGGCTTGGAAGCTAAGCAGTCATGCTTGTTTTTTACTTGGATGGGAGACACCAAGGAATCTCAGAGGTGTAGGCTAGATTGGGAAATTGAGAGAACATCCTGGAAGAAGGCCAACACGAATCATTTTGATACTGTTCCTGAGAAACCTAGAGGGACATGGGGGCAACTCAGTGGACCAGGAGATGGACCGGGGGCAACTCAACTCAAGAGTGTCTCTGCCTTTATCTTCACTGAGGAGATGGGACATGGTGAAGAGTCAGTCTCCCAATGGCTGAGCAGAGGTCAGGAGGCCTTCGTGTCCCTTGTGATGCCAGTAGATGCAAGGGAAAATAACTTTGTTTTTGACTATGGCAGTAAAGCTGAAGTTTTTGGCTGCTTGTGGTGTACTGCCATCATATTTCAAGTGGAGTGGTGTGAATGCCGGAAGTACCTCCTAAAGCTAACATAATTTTTTTCCTATGCTTGGTAGGACTTACGGTGGTTAAGGTGTTGGACAGAGGCTGGAGAAACCCTCTTTAGGTCTTCACTTGATCATGGAATTTGGGGTGGGGGCAGTTCCTATCCCTCAGCCCAGCTTATGAAATAATTGTTGTGAGAATAAAATGAGGAGAAATCTCCTTGTGTCCCATCTTGAGCTCATAAAGGAAAAGGTGAGATATAAGTGTAGTATTAAATAACAAATATTCCTTGAAAGTAAAAGTAATAGCTAGAGTCAGAAGTTCTGGAGATGAATGAGCCAGTAGTATGGTGCATCCTGAATTGACTTCTACAAGGCTTTTCAATGTTTGTCCCTGGCAGAAAGGATTAATCCTGCGTCTTGGGGAAGATCAGCAATTGATCTCTCCTGACTTTGGGGGGAATAAGTGTGTGTATGCTTTCATTGATAGCTTTTGTTCTTAATTCTGTCACTACATTTTCCCTAACTGGAGGCACATGGCTTTGAAGGCCATTTTTTACCTACCCTAGTATCTTCTAATCCCATCAAAAGGATCTTGTCAAGGTTTCATTGGTGGTGTTTCAGCAAAGTGCCATGTATGTATTCTGACATCCAAAGTGGGGGGATCTTATTCACAGGGCACAAGGAGGAATTCATTTTGGCCAAAGCTGTGCTCAGGAAGTGTTCTAGCCTCTGTTTACAGTAAGCTTGCTCAAGGTATGAAAGCTTAACAGAAGTATCGATGAAGTACGAAGGTAGATATTATAGGGTAACATGAAGATCTCTAAATAATTTGCAGATTAGTTTGGAATAGTGACAACACAAAGCCTTCTAATTGCTGAAATGATGAAAGTTTAGAGGGAGATCAGGAAAGGATTTTAATTGCAACAGCGAATTCCGTTGTGGTACTTAGAATAGATTTCTGTGCTGACTATTCATTCATCCTACCTGACCTCTTCTCCCTGCAAGCTCCCACCACTGTTTTCCATGTGTGGACCTTGGGGTTGTGTTCAAAGACAAAATCAGTCATGCAGATCAGAGGTTTGCCCGCTCTTGGGATTAAGAATGGTAAACTGACTATGCCAGGCCTATGGAAAGATGGCAACAATCTGAAGCAGAAATGGTGACTGTGTAACAGCGTGTATGTGAGTGCACAGCTTACTTAACAGGAAGTGTCTGCAGCCTTGGCATTTTTTTCCCAGCTCCTTACTCAAATTTTCTTTTCACATTGAGTACGAGTTGTCAGCAATCCCATTCCCAATTCAGGCTGTTTGGAAACCCTAAGATGGCAGCCAGGCCCTTGATCTTTGCATAATTTTTTAGCATCTTAAAACACATCAGTGTTTTTAACATTGCCTAATATTTGTATTAAAACTTAATGCACTTAGTTTTGCTGTTTTGCATCACTCATGAGTTACTTCCACAGCTATCAGTGGTGTATGCTTCACCCTACCTCTGCTGTGAGGTTACTGGCTATTGATGGCTCTCTGTGTGTTCGGACTGAAAGAGTCAGAAGTTTTGGAACAGTGAGTTCAGTCCGTGCCCAGAGAAAGGGCTCATGGTTTTAATAGGGGAGCATAGAATCCGGATCTGCACACTTGGATTGGAAGAGAGAAGATCCCTGGGCTTGTGGGCTCAGAGGGTGGAAGCAGGGAGTCGGGTTGTTTGCAAGACAACAAATTGGTTTCTCTTCCACTGCGTTCAGAAAGTGGGTTAGCTGGGAAGAGAAGTAGCTTTGGCAATTCTCTTCTGTCCGCGTCTAACTTGCTTGTGGCTCTTGTTTATTCTTCTTGTTGCCAGGGGAGGGGGGAACTTGGGGACTTGGTATGGCCTACGGATGGGAGAAGTCCTGTACGAGTTTGGTGGAACAACTTGGTTTCCTTGTTTGGGGTCTGCCATGTGCAAACATGTGTTCACACATTTTGTGCCAAAGAAGTCCAAATACTATCACCAGAGTGATTCTGTGCTACCATATACTGTGTGTTACGCTGTATTTATTTATTTCTGTAGGAGTGCATTGTTTTTTTCAGAGTCATGCTGAGCTTTGCTTAGCGATTCATATCTGATGATTTTTACTAAGAGAAAAGAGCAGGCAAAAAGAAAAAAAAATCCTTGATTTGCTTTTGAGTCTCCTTCCTCATTTCAGTCGTTCTTTGTCCGCTGTGAGAAGATATGTGCGTTTTCCATACCCAGTGATGTGTGTGGAGAGTTGCCTTTTCCCATAAAACGATAGGATGGCATTCTGAAAGCTTAACTTGGAACCACGTGTGCAACTTGAAATAGTGTTGAGGGTGGGCTCAGAGTTATAACAAATGAGAAGCCCCATTTTTTCCTTCCAGCTCATCTCCCCTTCCCCCCAGTGAACAAGGAAAGGCTAATTGTTGGCTGATGCAACTTATTTCTCTTTTTCTAAAGAGGTACGAGAACCTCTTTCGCCAGGACAGGGTGTGTTTTTCTGGGAAGCAGTTGGGCAAGGCCTTCTATGTTATGGAGCCACAGGCCAAATCAGCACCCAGATCTCAGCTTGCCAAAACTCTGGTTGCTGACACTGAATGTCCTTCCAAGGTCTTAATGGTGGCAGTTGATATTTATTTTGGAGAAAGGAGTGAAAAAGCCAGGATGTCCTCTCTTTTTAATAGGGCCTTTTTAGGAGAGGAGAGGAAGGCCAGAAGAACTTCTGGTCAACAAAGCACTAGATGTACCATCAGCTGGGACTGCTGCTGGAGTTTTCCTGGGCCTCTTACGTAAGCTGCACTGGATCTGTAATCCCATATGAGTCTAAATGTGATTGGAAGGGTACCATGTTGTGAAGGAGCTCATCAGGCATTTGACATGAGAGAAGATTGGCAGTGTTGTGTAGGGTGGAGAAGAAAGGAGCAGTGTCATTATCATTAATGACAGGTAAGACCTGGAGTTTTCTGGTTTGAGAGAGATGGACTTATGCCATTAACTACCAGGTCACTATCCAGGGTGTGGCATTCTACTGGCATGATTCAGAAGCTCTCTTTCCACACCCTCAACTGGCTGATAGTAGAGCTTGGCCAGATGCCTCAGATAATACCAGTGAAGGGAATCCTAGGGAAATCCCTAACTGAAGTTTCTCTTCTGCTGTCATTATTAGAGCTGAGATGTTCTACTTTGCACCTGCTGTGTGAGCCTTGGCAGGACCTTGTTGTGCATGTCTTTCCTTGCATGCACTGGCTTGCACATTCAGTATGCCATGGTATCTGTGTCTGTGCGTATGGTGGAGAATCTGGGTGGGGTATGGCAGTCTGTCCACAACTGCCTGGCCAACCAAGGTCCTGCCATCTTTGTTCACTGCTGTGTCTTTTCTTCGTGTCATCTTCTGTTGTGTGGTAGATGTAAGACAATGTTGGAAAGCCCTAATGGCATCTTGGCACCACCCCAAAACCGACAAACTGAACTGGAGCAGTTCTGGAAGCAACATTCCTCTCATTCCGGGGCTTTCAGCTCATCCCCTGCTTTTCCTCTTCTCCCCTCCTTTGAACATGCTGATTCTCTCCTGCTCCCAGCCCACATTTGTCCTGGGGCACTTGGAGCTTTGTGAGTTAGCTCAATGTTTTTAGTTGTCTTTTTGGCTGACTTTTTCTGCAGCTGTGAGGCAGATTTTTCTGGGGCAGAATTCTCCATACTAGAAACCCTGGTTGGAATTTCTTGTGCCCATTTTTAGCACTGTATTCTAGTTAGTAAGCATACTCCCTTCCTCCTATTAAGCACTGAGGATTTTCCTTCTTAACTGCTAGACAATTGTTAGAGATTGTAGCAAAAAGATCAGTACAGCCTTCCTCAGCCTGAGAGACCTCCAAATGTGTGACTTCATGAAATTTAAGCAGTGGCCATTTGCATCTGGAGGACACCCGGGTGAGAAAGCTGTGTTAACACAGCTCTTGCATGTCCCTCTTTAACTAGCTAGTATATCCCATGTCTTGGTTTGGTTGAAAACTATTAAGATGAGAGTATCACTGGGGTTTTTTAGAAGCAAAATAATTTTTCTTGCATGCTTTGCCATTCTAAAAATGTATGTGTGGATACCTAGCACATCCACATAGGAAGAGTGAGGCCCAAGACAAAGTTTAAGCTGGAGATCACCAATCTTGTCCTCAAACTATTATTCTTGACTGGTTTTCAAACTTCTTCTTCAGATAATAGACCACATCTGAGATGTTGTTTTTAAAAAACACAAATTGTCTTAAGTTCTTTGTTTTACTAAGAAGTCACCGACAGTTCCACACCATTTTTGATGTGGTATCATTCCCAGTCATGCAGTGTCTTATGCTACTTCTCCACATTTGTTCTTGTCTCCCAATCCTCCTACACGATCGATCTGCCTGCCTGCCTGCCTCTCTATTATCTATCTCTCATCTCTATATTATCCATAGACTTACCCCAATTTTATTAGCTTAGTTATAGCTGGGTCTAGAATGGGTGTATGGAGATTTGGTCTAGATGAAGTTGACTTCCATAGGCCATAACAGGATTGTAAAACCAGTAATACACAATATAGCTTGTGTCTTACAAGTGATTATGGTGAGAGGTAAAGTAAAGTTTAAGTATGTAAGTAAATTAAGTAAAATTTACAGTAGTCATGTCTGCAGTATGGGTAAAAAGGAAATTGTGTAAACCTCATTCTTGGCCATGGCTAGATCTCTTCTAACAGGATGGACTGCACATTTTTTAAAATGTACATTGGTATTTAATAACTTCACTCCTGTTTTTAACACTTTTTGCTGTATTCTTCCTCTTTTGGCACCTGGTATTTATGTTCATGTTCTTATGGTATGTCACTCTGAAATGTAAGCTTGTATATAGCAGTCAGCTTTTAGGTTCTCTGGATGACTTTGGGTTGGTGGGACGGGTGGTGCTCATGAGGATGGCTACATCTTCCCATATTAAAAATGACAATATAGAAAACTAGACAAATTCAGGATTTAGTAGTAAGCTCTCCCCCATCCGAAACAGAAGACAGCAACAAAGACGATGTTATTAACATGGGGGGGTTGCATGATCTTTTTCCAGTTCTTAAAAAAATGAAATATTTGCAAGTACTGTATATCATCTCTCTGATGAGGTAATTTTAAAATAAATTGGCCTTTATTGTAATCTCAAACTATGTTGCAGGTGTGTCATAAATCATTCTCTGCTACATCTTTGAATGTGGGGAATTTGGGTGATGTCCAGTCACAGACTAAAATACTGCGTTTCCGCATATGTCTCACATCCGCCCCGGGGAGAGGAAGAAATAGGGTTAAAGGAGACCGGGAAGTGGAACTGTGACTTCAGACTGTTTGGTTTCACTAGTTCTGTCTTCCACGGTTGTAAGGTTTTGTAACTTCGAAATGAATACTGTATGTGTTTGGCAATATGAGACGCTTAGATTAAAATACCTTATTTTCTGGCCGTGTAAAACATTCCTCTTTGTGTACAACTATTGAATATTTGTTTTTATTTTATTTGCTTTCAGGGACATCCCTGGCCTTAATCTAGCTTTTTTTAAAGCTGTTTTCTCCCTGTTATTTGCTTCTGCATTAACTATCAACTGTTTGGAAGCCCTACTGGTGCCTACTGAACAGGGAATTGCATTCCGACCCCGAAAACAACCACTTTCTTCCCAAGAGGATGTGACTGTTTGCATTATGGGCTACCTGGATGAGTTTGACATTCTATAGAAAGAGCAGCCTTCCCTAAGCTGGAATCCTCCAGGTATGTTACGATTACAGCTCCCATAATTCCCAGCCAGGGATTTCGTGAGTTGTAATTGCAGTTCCTAGAAGGTCCCAGGTCTGGAAAGGCTGAAATTCACAGTGTGTCACCTCTTGGCTATCGCTGCCTTGACTCTTTGGAACAAGAGTCCTCCCTCTCTTGTCTTCTTCAGGAAAGCTGTTGAGACCTGCCTTTCGTAACAAGCTTTTGAAGGTTAACATCTGGCTCTGTGCATTCCACTTAAATTGATTATGTTCTGCATTTTAATTGAAACTTTATTTTTTACTGTATTTTTAGGGAGTTTAAGCAGGTTTGAACTGACTATGTCTCTGTGTATGAACTGATCAGACTTTTATAATTTGATGTTATACAAATTCTGTAAACAAATGACACAATGCTTTCCAAATGGGTAGTGATATTATCTCTTGCTGCAAAAACAAGAGTTTTGTGGCACCTGAAGTGTTGGTGTTGAAGATGCCCAAAGATACTTCATTCTTCTCCTATGACTTAGGTGCATCTAATGCTTTCAGAGACATCTCTCACTGTGTATATATAGCTCTTTATAAACAGCTAAAGTGAAGCCTAGAAAAAACAAACATTCTCTTCTTGTATTTCTTTTCTTTGTCAACATGAGCATTTTCCCCTTTATTATCTCTCCTTTTAAAGTGTAGGATCTTGGAATTATTTGCTTCATAGATTTTGGTAGTTGGAATCCCAAGTCCAACCACCTGCTATGTGCTGGAAGTCCCAGTTAAAGTCTCTCAGGCAGATGGTTGCCCACCTTCTCATTCAGGTTGCCAAGACTAACGATACTTGAGGTAACACTCCTGCTGTGTCAGTTATTCCATATAAAGTTGAGCCCATCCTTGTATAATTACACTGTAGTAACACCTTGCTGTTGGCTAGGGTCTGTCCTTCATCTGGCAACATTTAGTCTAAATCTGTCCTCCACGCCTTCCTCCTCACTTGGGGCAGTTTGAGACCTCATCAAAATTTAATTACGGAAGAGTAGAAGACAGGAATGGGTGAGCTTCAGACTTGCGAAACTGACTTTGTGTTTTTCTAGCAGTGTCCAGGAGGCAAAACCAGATGCCAAAGGGAGAAAGTCTGTATCCTCTAGCACCCCACAAGGAACACTCTCCAGGGCTGATACAAGTACAATGTGAAATGGGCTGTTTGCACTGTTGGTCCCTATCCTGCCTCTGTTCCTAGTCACTGTAGTAACCTGACTTGCCTCCAAGAAAATGCCTAGGCTGGTAGGCTTAGTTTACACACCTTGAGGCTGCCAGTCAATAGTGTTGGAATAAGGAGACAAATACTACTTTCACGTGTGTACAGTGTAGGATGACATACTGTAAGCCTGTCTCATTTCATGGACTGGGAATGAGATAAGAGCAACAACGCCATGGGACTTGGCAGAAAACAATATTGTCAGGACATATTAGTGCAGGGGGGAAAGGCTATTCATGTAATGATACAATCAGTTGTTACCCCCTTGGACCACTTCTTGGCACAGCTTATTCCTCTGCAGTCCTCTTCTCCTTCTCAGTGCAGTTTGGCTCTTTCTCACCCCCCCCCCCATAATTTAATTCTCCTTAATGAATTCCAGCTCTCAGCTACATCAAAGCCCTGAGTGCATTCTTGTTGAGGGAATATAAAAGGAACAACTCTGTCCCCTCACCCACTCCCTGCTCCCAATTTTAGTGTCTGGGGTTGGGGGCAGGGAGGTATCCCAAACTTTGTTTCCTTGTTCTGTGGCTAGAGTCAGCATCTCTTCTGATGTAAGGTAATTGGGAGTGGCAGAAGTCTCTTTTAATCCACGATTAAGAAGCTGGCTGTGTTGCATCTTGGCGGGGGCAAAGAGCTATTAGGGAAGCTCTGAAATGTGCCATCTGTGCTTCATTTAAAAGCCTTCCAGTGAACACCCTATGGAAGAAGCAAACTGTCTTGGTTAAGAAAGGATAATTTCTTTATGGTGGGGGTGTTGGTGTGAGATGAAAGAATAACTAAGGGGTCTTCAATGTGGCAGTTTCTTCCCATGCAGAAATTGGTTGGAAATGAAGCTGGATTTAGAAATGGTTATCCAGATTTTGGGCTTTTCAGCTTTGGCAATGATGCTCCCCAGGTGCCTTCTCCTTTGGGTCCCTCTCACTTGTGCCAAGAAATCAAGCACCAATTATTTTCCTTTCCATCAGCTGGTCTTTGAGGAGACCTGGTTTCCAATGATAGGTCTTTTGTATGAACCTCCTCTCATGACAGCCTCTCCCTTGGACCTGATACCTTCTCACCCTGCATAGCCACCACAGTGTTCCCTTTCTTTTTCTCGCTTGGGCTAGAAGGGGGAATTGACAGGACTCATCAATTTCAATCTGTTTGTTTGTTTGTTTGTTTAGAAGGCCCCTTGTTTCACTAGTGGGTTGGTGAACCTGTTAGTTATTTTGAGGTTAGCTGTAAGTCAACTGATTGCTTAAGATACTTTTGTTCTTAACTATCTGCCTTTGTCCTCTTCTCTTTTTTTGCCACAGGTTGCAGCAGTGTTCTCCCAGCCAGACCAATGGTGAAAGTTCCCCAGAGATGTTGGCCATACGATTTCAGGTAAGCATGCATTCGCTTCATTTCAGCATGCTGGCTGGGGCTGACGGGAATCGGAATCCAACATCATTAAGAGAGCCACAGATTACATTGCTTCTCATGACAACTTTGTTTTGCCCAGGGGTGTGAGGAGGAGCTAGAGGGGTACAGTCATTACTACCCTGTGTAGTAATCATATCACTGGTCCTCCTGGTAAAATGACTTCTCTTCAAAAGTCTTCCCAACATTCTGTGGGAAGAAGCCAGCCAGGGCAGGGTTCCTCTTATTGCTAGGCAAGAAAAGTGATCTTAGTCATCCAATTTTGGGATGCTATAAAAGAGCAGCTAATGTTATCTTGTGCCATGGTGGTTGATGTCACTTGGATTTTATGTATACAGGCTATTCTTCTGAACATGTTTTTAGAATTTTTTAAATGTTTGCCTTTTCCAACAGGATGTGGTGAGAACTAGAGACAACGGACAGAACTCAGTAAGATCTTCCTACTCAAGCCCAGCTTCCATCAGTCCACGGCCCAGCAGCCCATATTGTCCTTCATCTCCTGGGTATCGGCCTGGCAGCCCATATAGCCCAGTGAGATCCAGCCTGTCCACCGAGGTCAGAGGGGAGCCTGTGATGAATAGCCGCAGGTAGATAACACCTTTAAGTATTGAACCAGATCAAAAGTCTATTGAGTCTGCCCATAGAAACTTCAAAAGTAAGACATGAAGACCAAAGTCTTCCGCATCCATACGCCCAAAGCTATAACCTCTTTGATTGGTGGTAGTGGTTGGGGGTTTGCATGTAAACATGTTATTTTAGCTGGCACCACACCTCATTGCAATGAATTCTTTATGTTGAGGGCACATTAGTGTAGAACTGTAGTATAGTTGTAAAAAAGTTGGACTGGGAATGAGACCTATGTTCAAATAGACAATGGACCTCACTCAAGGATTCTGGGCCAGTCATGCCCTCCATATCTAACCTATTTTACAGAATTGCTTTAGTGGGAGGGAGAGAGACACCACCACCACCACCCCAAAGTCTCCTTCACTTTTCAGAAGAAAAGGCAGGATGTAAATGCAGTAAATCAATATATTTGTTTCATTTGGGAATCAGTATTATGGGAGGACTCCCAGAAATAATATATGAAAAACAAGATAGACTGCATAATTTTATGAATTCCACTTGCTCATTCTTTTTTTTTTTTTATTGTGATGTTGTAAATCATGGTACATGATATTATTTCAATGCAGATTTCAATGCAGTAATTATATAATATGATTAAAATTATTAACATTCTATTATGTAAAAAGCTTAAAGTATAGAAAATAAAAAGAAAAAAAATTAAAAATGGTATTAATTGCCATTTAGAATGTCCGTGTAATAGGCATAAAATTATTTAACTTTTCATCTGAAGTTAAGCATAAGATAAAAAAGAAAGAACCACTACAATTTACATCAAAGTACAGGATTAGTTATATGTTTCAGTCTTGAACGAATTAATATTAAGATCTCCATTATATTGTTACTTAATGTGTGTATGTATACGTGTGTGTCTACTTGCTCATTCTTTATCTAAATCAGGGTGATTTTTTTTTTTTTAATTAATCAAGGAAAATGTGGTTGGGGGGGTCCAGGAGTGTAAAGCATCTTCCTTTTCTGGTTCTGCTTCTCCTTGTTTATTCTCACTCTCCCCTTCGTCTTGACTCAATAGGCTGATTGAGGTATAAATGACTTTCCTTGTCAACAGTTTGCAGAGATTACTTTCGAAAGCCTTGAGGCTCCTGATCCAGCCATATAACTTTGTTCAAAAAGAATCCATTTAACATTTGTCATGAAATAATGCAGCCGACTGATGTCTACTTTCTGGTGTATCTAAATTGTGAACTGGTTTTAATATGAACCAGCACATGTTAATATTTCAATATAATCCTCAAACCTTTTCGTTTGGCTTCGCCCTTAACTTGGCTTTTGTTTGGCCAGTATTTCAACTTTCTTTTCATTCCTTCATGTGGGCAAGGCTTCTACTTTTAGACAAAAGCTCTTCTGCTTTTCAAAAATAATTTTATACACTGTTCATTAGCCGCTTGTCATGGCCTTCTATTCTCCCTTTTCTAATCCAAGTGTCATTTTGATTGAGATTCCATTATAACAGTTCAGCGAGGTTTGCTTTTCTGACCCTGCTTTTCAGTTTTTATTTTTCACTTTGTCTCTTGGGCTTTAGAAGATAGCCACAATAGATTACTTTAAGATTAGTGGATAGATGTGATTTGGGTAAGGGGTGAGCTGTCTTACATGCGTATAACAAGACATTACTTGGAATTGATGAGTTTTGTTGGGTTCCAACCTCATCTTTTCATGCTCTAAGCCCATACTTGTTCCTATTTACTCTTTCTTCCCCATAATAAGCAACAAATTGCCATGTTCCTATGCTCTCTTTCTAGCTTCCAGTCAATGGGGACTTCACTGGGGATCTCTGAACACTCTCCACCACTTCAGAGGCAGCAAGATTCAAGTAGCAGACAGGTAAAGCTTATGACCTCAAACTATTTGTGGGATTCCTTGGAGTCATGGGGATGATATATGTATGAGCAAGTTGTTCTGGAAAAGAGCATATATATGACATAGGTGCTGGCCCCCAGGATTTATAGGAAACATTTTGACTGTGGAAAAAGAACAGAAGGAGCATGGAAAGAAAAGGTAGGGGGGGATATTGTAAGCAAAGGCACTTAAACCCACATACTTGGCTGAATTTCTGCTTCTTTAGTACTTTAGCAGCAGGGACCAGCATAATCAGCGCTGTATACCCACAGAAGCAAAGTCAGCTAATATTTTCCCTTGCCATGTAATGTGAGTTTTATCAAAGAGGTGGAAAAGCTGTTCTCACTTAACAATGATTCCACCTACTATCCTCTTCCCCTTCTATAGAACTTGTACTATCAACTCTAAGCCTGTGGCTTCAGCGTCTTGTCCCCATTGCTCTCAGATGGTAGCAAAGTCAAAGGAGTTGGGTAGCCCCTGCTGCCCCCTCTAGGCTTGTGTCTCAACTGTTGATCTTCCTGCTTTGACCTGGCTGCTCTTCTGCACATGTCTCTGCAGCCAACAGCACACCTGGCTGGCTGGGGATGTTTGCTTGTTCCTACCTGATGTTTCCAAGCAACAGTTGGGATCTAGGGAGGCAGAACCAGTTTGGGGAGATGCTACTTGCATCTTTTACACAGGGGGCAGGGTGAACTCCTTCCTCCTGAGACCTATTAAAGTATCTTTTGCGAGCAAACCATGATTGCCTCAGCCAGAGAGACCTGTTCAGGTGGTTCATGGGGGACCCCCTGGAGTGAGTTTTGCAGCATCTCATGATCCTTAGATGTGCAGTGAGAGGCCTCGAGAACCTGAAGTTAAGCAGCTAAGCTTTTCTACAGTATTAGCAGTTACCTGAGAAGGTCTTAGCTTTCAAGAATTATACCAGGTTATATTTTCTCCACCTCCCCCACTCTTTAATTTACAAGTATTTGCAAGTAGAACACCAACAATAGTTTATCATCTTCTAGACCAAGGTCCCTTGCCCTCAGTTTCACAATTCTCAGAGCCTTCTGCAAAATTCAATGGTACAACATGGCATCAAAGTTTCCTAGCATTTTGTGTGGGAAATGTACAATAGCCATACCATAACTCCTCAAATAGACTTTGCACACTTTCAAATCAGAGGCAATCTACATCCCTGCCCAAGTATCTGGGAAAACAAATGGAACATATTGGTTCTGCCCACATACGTGATGTAGCCACATTCACCTTGTATTGCTGCCTTGCTCACTAGGGCTCTTTATGCCATCAAAAATATTAAGTGTTGCCTTTGACTGGCCAAAGGTTGCTCATCCTTATATCCCACTGTTTTTGTTTGAATGTATTTCTCAGTCATTTCTTTCTAAATAAAAAATAAAAAAAAACTTGTGGTTCTCTTTCTTACTCAGCAAAGAGCAATATTGGTTTGTGTTTATTTCGTAGTGGGGATGGGATTGGATTTGAAGAACATTGATATGGATATGGGTAGGAGGTCCATGGCTGTAATAATTCATGGAATTAGGCATGATATAACTTCCAATAGAGAATCAGTAATCTCTATGGAACTTGCTAAGCTCCCTTATGATGGCATCAAACTTTTAAAATACATAGATATTTTTATACTATTAATTTCTTAGAAATCAGGACCATTTTGATGGTTAGGCTGTCTAAAGCATTTTCCCATGAGAACATTTTCAGTCACTCCATCTTACATTTCTTTCTTCTACATTCTTATTTTTGGTGAAGATCAGTTCCAGTCTCCACGGGAGGAAAAACAAAGTTTAACACAATTCGAGATTGTGTAATCCTGAAATAAAGCATTCAGATTAAATCCAGTGAGACCAATCTACTTCATTTGTGCAATCTCAACGGCTGAATTTTGCTTTTGGGAAGTAGACTTATTGGCTTACTAAAATCAATAGTTCAGTTAAATCAATAAATAATTGCTTACATCCTGAAGGCTTTAGGCAGGTGTCAGAAGCAAAAGACAATGTCCTACCATATGAAACTGTACAGTAATCTAACAAAAGTATTCAACTATCCATTTTTCTCCACCCTTAGCCAATGTAATCCTGAGCCCTGAAGGACACATCCAACTGGTTGGACTTAACGCTTCTGAACCTTGTTCAGTCTGAATTTGGCAAGTCTATAGCTCTCAAGAATTTTCATCCTGTAGTGCTTCTCTTTTTTCTCTTACTGCCAGAATGTGGCCATAAATGGAAACATGAAAATCATATAGGGGGCAATATTTAAATGAGAATGCGAGTTCATGTAGCATTATAGCTGCAAGACTGAGCTCTGAAGCTCCATTGTGAATCTCAACTTGGCCATGAACTCACTTTGGTGGCCTTAGCCACTTTCTCAGCTTCAGTCTCTCACCTGTGATAAGGGGGAAGATTAGACACTAAATGACTTTTTGTAAACATTACAACTAGATAATGAATGTAGAACTCTCTGAACACACAAAAGCACTAATTGTGGATTGTTATGATTATCATTATGATTATTTCCACAATACATATATGCTCCTTGGCTACACTTTTCCTGCAGTTCTACTGGAAGCTTTCTGAGTTTGTAGGATCGGTTTCAGAGCCAACTTCCCAGGGTGATCTTCTGGAATGCTTCTGCCCTCCTAAGGAACGTTTTCGTCTCTCCTCCTATGGTCTTTGAGGTCTTGTCTCCATGCCTATGTGTCCTGGCATTTCCCTCTGCTGTTGCTCTTGGGCTGGAGCTGTTGTTGTTTGCTTGCTTTGGCTCCAGGGACTGGTCTGTCTAGTGTTTTTGATATATTCTGGGGCTGTTTTTCAAGCCCAAATTTTTGGGAAGAGAGGTTGGCCCCAAAACATACTGCTTGCCAGCTGGCATCTTGCTCCTCCCAGCTCTACAAGTCCTTGCTTTCTCCTCATGATTTTCTTTCCCTTCCAGTATTTATTTGCTTTAGTTCTTGGCCCTGTTGGTTGACCTCCTCCCAGCCCAGCACTTGCATTGTGCTGGGGGCTGAGATTTGAGTGTTGGAGGCTAACGAGCTGATGCTTAGGCCTGGCTGGTTCTCCTTTATCTTACTTCCCCCAGAAAATTCCTTAATAGTCCAGCTTCTCAGAATGGGAGAGCATGGGAATTAATGTTACTTCTCACCCTGAGTTCCAGAACAAGGAGGAACCTGCTCCAGATTGCTATAGACTATTGTCCTTTTTTTCTTAATACTCAGATAATTTGGATACATGGGAGAATGTAAGGTTCATTTAGTCCAGGGTTCAGCTAAAAGCTTCCCCAGGTGTTTCACCAACTGACATGTAGCAAACATGTGGTTCCATTTAGCAAGTGAGAAACTATTCGTCCTTTGTGAATTTGTTGTTATTTATTTATTCAGAAACATTTTTTTCAGCCCCTTCTTCATCTGAAAAGAAAGCCTGAAGAAGGATTGAAAATATAACATAGAAACCCTACTGCTGGGCTTACGATCTTAAAAAATAACACTAAAAGAAAACAAATAGGAAAGAAGGAGAGAGGAAAAAAACAAGAAAAGAACTAGGCCTCCCAGCCAGTAGCCATTCTGATTTCTTCTGTGGCAGAAAATTCCATACATGACTTAGGGTTTATATGAAGTAAGATTTATTTTGACTGTATTGAATCAATTGCCAGTTCACCTTCTTGAGTGATCTTGTATTAAAGCAGTATGGGAAAAGGAGAACAAATTCCTTATCCATTCCTACCTCTGTGTTTTTTGAAATCCCTTCTGACCAGGATTACTGAAACTGGAGGCAGAGTTTCCCCATCTAGGGATGAGAAATAGATGAAAAATTAGAGTGTATTCTCAAAAATAGGCATATCACAGCCTCTCCAAAAGCAGTCGCAAATGCTTGGCTAATGTTGCCCCCCCTACTTTGAAGCCTTCAGCCCCCAAGAATGTTAGATGCATCCCTTGGCCACCAAAAGATTGCCCACTCCTGCTTTGTACTGAAGCTCCAAACTGTTCTTCACGAGGGAGGTGTGCGAATCTCTTTTCTTGCACCTCTTCCAGACAATTATCCCTTTCTAAGATGAGATAACCTTCATTGAACAGTATCTCAAATGTAGATACTGTACACCAGGGGGTTACTACCTTTACAGCCAGTTTAATTTGACTAGCATAATTCAACTAGACATGGTAGTACTATTAGGTTGGCAGCTATCCTGTCTCTTTCTTGTCTGACCAGTTCAACTATTGTCTCCTAAATCAGGATAGATTATAAAAAGGCAGCAAACTTGAGATTCTCTCTGAAGTGTTTGCTAGAGGAGAATGACTTGGAAAACCCAGAAGATGAGTTGCATTCCAGAGAAAGGTGTATTTCTTCTGCAGGTCTCTAGAATGGGAGAACCAAGAAGATGGAAATGACTTAGCAAAAGGCCATAGATCAGCATGAAAGGATTGATGGAAGAGGGTTAACTTGAAGCTAGCTTTATACGTGTGCAAGATAGGTGGGTATGCTGGAGTCAAAGATCAGCAGTCTTCACTAGAGAGGAAAGGAAGACTTTAGCGAGGAACAGCTTGATGGGACTTCTGGCCTAACACATCAGAGAGTACCAGGTTGGGAAGGCTGGACTAGACTATCTCCTTTGAAACTGTCTACTGTTACATATCCCTTTGTTTCTCGGGTGGAGGGGATAAGGGAGTTCATATGCAATGCTGATGAGTGTGTTTCTGTCATGTCTCCTGGAGTCTGCTGTTCCCAGAAACATTTGCTTCTACTTAGGGGGGAGTTTCTTTTTTCCTTCTGTCTCCAAGGCTTTTAAACAGGAGCAGCTGGAGTGGGAAGGGGGGATTTACTATTTGGCTAGCAAAAATATGTCTTCCGATTAAGAAGCTGCTAGAGGATGGGAAGAAAAGGGGCAGAGCACCACCAAAATACTTGAAGGATTAAGGGGGGGGGTGTCAGAAAAGAAGGGAGCACCACATAAAATGTATCTACCTGAGTAGAGAACTTTCATTCCAGGTGTGCCTGGAGTACCTTTCAGGCGTGACTAATGCTAATGTAGGGATGGAGAGGGTAGGTATTTCATTAGGGCCGCCATGAACATTATGCATTCATGGGTAGATGCCAGACCTCCAGTGCTCTAGTAGTCCCTGTTGGTTGATGGTGGGTTAGATCCTCTGCAGCAGCCAGCTGAATCTCAAAGCTGCAACATATGTGGAAGCTCCATTGAGGCGTTGTGTGTAGTTAAAATGGACGTGGCTTGCTGCCAGCTGGCCCAGATCACAGAGCTCCTTGCTTCTACTGGCAAGCAAATTTGCTGGTGGGGGGTATTTAGCTAAAGAAGGGCTCAAATCAGGAGCCAGGAGAAGAACAAGCTGGGCTGAAAACCTAGAAATGTAAACACTGAAGAAAGTGAGATAGGAGCTTTGTGATCATAACTGAGTGGTGTCAGACTTTGGGGTAACTGTACTATAGTTAAGTCCAAAAACTGAGACTGAATACTACAAGATATATGAGCCACCTGGTTAGAACACTGCATTTATACCAGATTTTCAGATCCCCACTTAGCAAATCATTCACTCTTTTCATCCTAACTGTTCTGGCAGTTGAAGGAAATAAGGGGAGAATAATAATAAATTGCAATTCCTTGGTGTCTTGGAGTGAGTTAGCCTGTTGGCCTACCGAATTAGGACACAGTTATAAGGCCGGAATGTAGGCCTGACTCCATGCTGTGTACTTTGCAAGCAAGTCCTCTAATGCGCCTTATCCACATACCTATGACAGTCATTTATGGCTTAAAAAGGAGAGCAGGAATTAACTTCTCAAAGCCTCCATCCTAAACCCTTGCAGACAATTCTCATTCACCAGAGTTCTTCTGGCATATAATGGTTTATATGAAGGGAGGGGAAATTGTAGCCCCAAACCAGTTTCTTTTCTGTTCTTGCCAACTACACTACTGAAAGTAAGCAGATCTTATTATCTGAAATCTGTTGTGCCATTTTCTGCTATTATTATTTTTTTTTTTTAAATATACCAGCAGTGACCACCTACTGCAAGTCATAGTGCAACCCTTTGGCCTTGTGAACCATCCATAGTCAGATCTCTGGGATCTCCCTGCTTCTATCCAGATGTTTTGTCTTGTGAAAACAATGCTAATTCTGCATTTCCAGAAGACCTTAATCAGCCAACGAGCTTATATGGGAGGAGGCTGTCCTTTCAGTAGCCCCACCCTTAAGCCTTTGGAAGCTAACTAGCATTTTGAACTGGACCCAAAGTAAATCACAAGCCGTGGTGAATGCTGAGCTAGGGGAGTTGCATGTTCATAATGACTAATTCCAGTTAAGAGTCAGGTTGCACCATTATAGGATCTCTGAAATTTCTGGATACATTTCAAAGGCAGCTCCATGTGGAGCCACTTGTAATAATTCAGTCATGATATAACTATGGCATGCGTCACCATGGCCACATCTGTCTTTGCTAGAAATGGGTGGAGTTGGCACACAAGCTTAATTAAGCCAAGGAACCTATAGCCACAGCAGTCACCAAAGCATTCTGGTTTCAAGGTCAAGCGGTTCAGAACTTCTAAAAATGTTGGGTCATTAATGAAAGTACTTCTAGGTCCATAATTAGCTATTTTACTAATCAGGAGTGATGTTATCTTGTCTACGTTCAATTTAATGTTCTCAGCAATAGAATCAGAACCTCAACAGCTTCTCTAGGATGGAATGGAAAGGGATGGGAAATTCTTTATTTGCCACGTAGGAGTAAAATTGGTATTGAACACAGAAAGATGACTCAAAATCAGACTTACTGTCTGTCTAATTCTCCCAAGATCTTCAGTCAAGACCTTTTGCATCATCTGCTCTCTGGTGCTTCTACCTGAAGATGCTGGCAATTATATCTGAGATTGTTCAGCGTGCAGAACTTTGTTACTGAGCTAAGTCCTGCTACCAGTATTGATGGCCTGGACTGCTTGTGATAACCATGCTACAAATGATATTGTATCTCTTATGGCACCAAAGCTGGCCAAGGAAAATAAGTTGGACTTATGGGGCTTGACCAGGGAGCTCAGTGCATTTTAGGGAATTTGCTTTTGATAGACAGACAGACTTGGCAATTTGTATCAGAGGACAGACTTGATACCTGAGGCTTTTGTCTATCTGCCTGTCTGAAGAGTGTGAAAGTACTTTATAGTATGTTGCTAGGGCAAATTAGTTATATGGGATGGGAGATTGAAACTGGGGCTAAAAAGAACTGGGGGGGGGGCAACAGCCAAGTCCCAAGTTTTGGGGACTCCAGCAAACAAAATGATAGGGGATCCTTGGCAGTGTTCATACCTACTACTTGGTTCCAAAACTTTAGCCAACTTTCCTCAATCCTGCTGATGCTTCCCAACTTAAATACCATCTTCCTGGGAGTTGTTGTCCCCCCCGCCCCCGCACCCATAATGTTGCCAGAACTGCCTTCTCTGATTAGCACACTCAGTTGCCACCCTGATTCAGTGGATCAGACTCCTCACCCTTCCTTTTCCTTCTCTTCTGCTGCTGTAGCCTTTTCTAATTTGGCTATAGTGATCTTCCCATTAGCGCTTGGGAAACGCTTTAACATGAGTGCCCTCTTCTGGTCAGGACCTGTCCTTATATGAAAGCTCTAGTAGGATGACTTTTGGAGTATTTGTTACCCCACTGGGCAATCAGACAGGTCCACCCAAGGCTTCAGGGCAAGGATTAACTGTTGGAGCTCAAGGATGGGTATCCATCCAAGAATGTGCAGAACTCCAGCATTCTTCTCCCTACGCTCTTTCAGGAAATGAGTTCAGTGTGGGTTACATGTTTAATTTTAGCACTATTCACAAGCCAGTCTGAAACATCTCTTAGCACAAATGGCTGTCTTTGTCCTGATATAATATCTAGTGCAGCTTGCTCCAGAGACCTTCTCATTGAATGGCACATTTTCTTCTGGTGAGGTAACATATACACTCTAATGGCTAGGGAAATACATGGGAAGACTATCACAGTAGTTGACTTTGTGGCACTGTGGTGGGGTCCCTACCACCATTTCTAACTTTGCACAATGGCTAGCAGTCATTGTTGTGTGATATGCTACCATCGGGCTTCTACTACTGGCATTCCACAAGGAGGGGACTGAGACTGAAATAGGGGCATTCCAAGAGCCTACACAATGTTTTTAGCAAAGATGGGTCTTTGAGGTAGGTGTCTCTGGCATGACAATCTTTCTTACCCGCTGAATTGCATTTGGCTGTGAAATGAATGTTCAAAATCCTGTAAGATCCATGAGGTTCCATGGTGGGAGTTGTACAGAATTCCCAGAATTTTTTCCTATGGCCAGGGTTAATCAACTATGAAAAATAAGCCAGGATAAGCAAATAACCCTTGGTACCTTTCTTTCTTGAAGACAACCCCTCTTTTTAATAGCTTTTACAAACAGCATTGATGAGGCTCTCCCCCTGGTTTGTGATAAAAGATGAAAAAAGATGAAAAGGGATTTCTTTCTTAAAGATTTTAGTTTCATGGCCACCCAAAAAGCCAACAACTATTCTACTCACAATAGCAAGTGTGCATTTTGCTCTGCAAGAAAGGTTTTGGCTTATCATGGGATTACAGTATAAGGGTGAAGTGGTTTTATGAGGAACGAGGAGACTTGCAGAACTTGACCATCTGTGTTTGTGTGAGCGCATAACAGTTGTACGGGTGCAGAAAAACCGATGATACTGGATACACAGATTGGCCTCCTGAGACTTGCAGGGTTTTGTAGTGTTTTGTAAAAGTATATTTCTAGATTTTATGGCTGGTTGAGAAGACATATTTGAAAGATTACTGGCAATGTCTGCTGAAATCTTAACAGCCAGTTGGCCAGATTGGATTCCTGTGGTTTGGGGGTGAGACTTTCTGCCCCTTCCCTTCTGACTGTCCCATTTTTCTTCCTTCTGTGAAGTTATTGATCTAAAGTTGCATCATTTATTTAGGTTGCCAAATTTTACCTTTTCTTGATGCAGAATTTGGATTATTTGGTTAAACCTAGCCTTAAGTATCTTTTGTTTTGAATTAGAGTGTAGGGGGATGTTGGTTGTGAGATTATTGTATACTTTTGTAGGACAGACTCCTGAAATGCATGGGGTTCAGTCTGCTTCTTAGCCTCCTGCTAACATTACTAGAATTTGTCACCCCTGCTTAGCTTTCCTCCTAGAAAGACAAACAGCTTGGTCACTGGACGTTAATAATGGAAATCTGCAAAACTGAAGACCTGTGACTGGGGAGTCTCTGTGCTGTAGCACGGTGAATGAAAATTATTTTAAGAAATATTTCAGTTTGGTTTTATCTATGATAAAAATATATATTTGCAAAGTATTCAGTGGTGTATTGTGGCAGTCATCTTTGTTGGCAGTCATAGTGGGCTTTTATTTTCCCCCTTCCCATGTAATGCCATTATCCCTTCTCTTTTCCATTATGCCAGATACAAGAACAAAGGAACTTCACCCATTCCAGTGAATCAGTTTTGCCTCCATTAAATGGGTCTCCATCTCCTGGAGGATACTCGTTCTCCAACCCTTGGGAGATCAGGAAGGACCATGAAAGAAGTCCATCTTCCTATAACCGCAGTTACAGGTAACTGTCTGGCTTTGCCTGGTTTCTAATGGATTAAGGATGAGAACCTAGAAGATCTTCGTTCAAAACAGATTATACTGCAGCTCATTTGGGGGCCCCTGTCAGGTTTTTTTTCCTTTTTATCTTTCTGCCCCACTCCTATCTGCTCTTTCCTGCAGTATAAAAATGATGCTGGTTTATCATAAAGGGGCCATAATAATTAGTTAAAATATGCAAGGGATTGCCAAATCTGACATTCAGATTCTATCTGTAGATCTTCCAACACTTTTTACTTTACTTTAAAGTAGCTGAAGGAGTTGGGATGTTTTCAAAAAAGAGATTTAAATTGCCTTTCCAAGTTGCCATGGAGGAGTAGGAGAAATAAAAGGATGAATTATTTTAACTGAACTCTCTTCCCAGAAAGTTTTTTATTGGTGGGCCAGAGGGGAGAATAAGTTCAAGGAGGTGGGGAGGAAAAGGGTCTAGCATCTCCTTCCCCTCTCCTGCTTTCTTGATCAATTAGTTCTGAAGTAAGAACAAATTGTGAGGAGATACAGTTGGGGATCAGCTGCATCTGGATCTGTTTTAACTCTTGGAGTCAAACCAGTGATTCATTTAGTTCAATCGTCTAGTCTGATTGTATTCACCCTTCTAAAGTCTTGGGAAGAATCTCATCATTCTGACTGTTAGTGCCAGGAATTCAGCCTCCATCACTGAACTCTGGACCTTTCCAGCAGCCAGGGGTGTACACGCATAAAAAACAGGCGGAGCTTCAATTGCACTGTTGTGGTCACCATCTTGACTCTTTTGACCATATCCTGTGGACCAGTGACTGGCAGCTTTAGACATATACTTATGCACGTGAACCAGTGTTATGTTCTTCCTGGTGCTGGCAAGCCAGAATTCTTTGAGGAGAAGGATTTACTCCACAGGGGTTCAGAGAATAGTCTACTTGTAAAATCTTCTCTACAAATGAAGTTAAGTGGTCAACCTGAAGTTTAGGACTTGTCTTGAGAATGCAGAAGTCATGAGGGACTATTTTTAGGCCTTTGCCATCCGATAGAAGAATGCAGGACTCTGTTTTTCAAGAGCCCTCATACCAAGAGGACAAATTGCTTGTCCACAGGCAAAGTCCAGAAAAGAGCTGTAGGACTTGGCCCCTGATCTCCCTAATTTGGTGCCTCCCATCTTCAGTTTCTTGTCCCCTGGCAACAAGGCAGACTCGGAGAGTTGGAGTCCAGTGTTTTTGGAGAATGCCTGCTTAGGAGAAGCTGCATGGCCCCATTTATTAGCCAATGGATTAAAAAGACAACGTTAGCCCCAAGTACCCAGGCGGTAGCTGTAGAAGATTCAATCGAGGTAGTTCTACTTTGATCTGAATTGTCCAATTCACCACTTCATCTTTGCATAGCCAAGCCACGCTCTTATCCCTCCCGCCACTCCTCTTCCTTTGTGTCTGTTTTCTGCTCCTTCCTTATTGATAAAAGGAAGGGCACGCATCTCTTTTTTTATTGATGCAAGTCTCTTGGAGAGGCACTATAAAAAGCTAATGACGAAGCTTGGGTGTGACTCCCTTGAACTAAATGTATGGATTCAGTAATTTTCGAGGTGCAGTTTTTCCATTGATGTAGTACAGTGTTGTCCAAACTTGGGCACTTTAAGATGAGTGGACTTCAACTCCCAGAATTCTGGGAGTTGAAGTCCACTCATCTTAAAGTGGCTAAGTTTGGACAACACTGGTGTAGTAGTACTGTTGTTATTATCAGTCCAGATGAATCCACCTCAAGATAGAGGCCTCTTCATTGAAGCTTATGGACCACAACCTACCATGCTGGTCCAGTGTAGGTTGGCAGACAGATGTTTTTCAGCTTCCCAAGTTAAGTCTACAGCGTATGTTTTCAGATGATGAACGATGCAGATCCTGACTGGTGGTTCATTTTTCAACACAGAAATAGCACCTGTTCATTTAAAAGGCCTTTCTAGACAATGGTTCTTCAAATCTTCACTGCCCATTCAAAACACAGGAAACTGGCAACCCGCTCCCCACCATTATTCAAGGGTAGGACACACGCTTTGCACACCAAAGATCCTGTAGACAATTCTAGGCATTTCCCGTTGAACGGCTCGCAGAACAGTGAGAGGAAAGACTATTTGCCTTAGGAACTGGAGAGCTGCTGCCAGTCAGAGCAAACCTCACCCGGCAAGAGGGGCAAATGGTCTGACAGGAAAAGGCAGCTTCCAGCGTTTTGTGTTACCCAACATTTATGCACTGTGGTCGTTTCACGTCAAAATAAAATGAGAGCATGAATCTGAGTTGTACTCATTGAAGAATGGAATGGACAGCAGGGTAGGGGGCTGAGACTTCCCACCTCAGAGTAAGAATGCCACTGGAAGGTCGCACTGAAACAGTTTTCCCCATTTCTGCAGTTTGCAGGTAACAGTCATGCTGATGTATTTTTTAAAAAATATGGTCCTAAAAAGAAAGAGGGGAGATGGCAATTCCACTTATACTTTTTAAAACTGGTGGGTTCCTCCAAAGGCTTTTACAGCAGCAGGAATGATTCTGAAACATGCTGTTTTGCTTCTGTTCTGCTGATGATCATCCTGAGCTATGACTTGCTGGTTCTTAACTATTCAAGAAAAGCTTACAATTTAACAGGAAGTAACTGCCACCTTAACAGAAAACCTTCCCCAGATGTCCCCCCCGCCCCCCAAAAAACTGGCTAACTCAGTTTTGGTACCTGAGAACAGACAGTAGCCATTTCATCTCAGAAATTTTGACCTCCATTTTGGATTGATTCCCCCCACCAAAAAAACCAGCAGGCAAACTTGTTTTAGGAGAGATTTAATACATAGTCTCTGAGTCACCAAGTAGTTGATCATCAGAATAGATTAAGTTGTTTGTCTCCAAGCTGATAAATTCTGCTAATTTCTCAGAGACCCTGGCAGTTTATCTCCCACAGTGTCTTTTTTTAGCTGGAGATGGGCAAAGGAAGATATATCTTTCCATCCAGGAGTGTGCGTCCTGTTTACTCATTTTGGTGCTAGGAGAAAGGTTCCCTTCCTGTTAGAAAGCCCCCTTCTTTCATACTGTGTCTAAGCTTTCCAAATCTACAAAATGTATTGTCTAGGCATCTGTTACTTTATTGGGCCAGGAAGTGTGAGGGTTAATTCAGAGCTGCTGACGAAGGTCGAGACTGGGCAGGTCTGAGCGTCATATGCCGAGGGAGTGTTCTGCCTGTACTTTCAGAAAGGGAGAGACAGCAAGAGTTTCTGACTCTGAGCAACTCTGAAGACAAGAGGAAGAAAGATTTAGTGGTGAGAGGGCTACAGGATTAGTCATTGCTGGGCGGGTAATTCTTAGCGTTCTTAAACCTGGTCACACTCTGGGGGCTGGTTTTGGCAGAAGGAAATTGTACAGGTGCTGGCTTACAGGTGTGCTCCTCTGGAACGATCCATTGTCTGTAGGTGAGGCATCTGAAAGAGCTTTGAAGGACACAGCTGGATGGGATAAGATTTTCTCCTTGGGTTCATTTACTGGACTTTCCTTGAGATTTCAGCTAATGGGATAGCCCCTCTGCTAGAATACTATGTACATGTCTCAAGGAGTGTCCCAAATCTTCATTAACTTCTTTTCTTTTGCTGGTTGGGGTTGATCTTGTTTCCCAAAGGCAAAGAGGTAGAGGGCAGAAGTACTGGAGATCCTTCTTTATCACTGAAAAGGCAGGGGACCACATTTTGACTTTAAACCTGGATAGATATCAGTTGTTTTCTGAAGTCTTGGTGTATCTGGAGCAAACAAAATCCTACATTAGGTCCTTTGTGGCTTCATGATAACATCTGTACCTTTGGAGTCCTGCAGCTTCAGAGCAGCCTAGAACAACTGCATTTGGCCTCTATTTCTTGGTCCGTCCCAACCATCTCTCTTCTTTCAGGGACTTGTAATGGGATGGAATACTAGTTTGTCTTGTCCTCCTGGATAGAAAGCCTGAGGTATTTTTCTTCATCCTAAGCCTGACTGCACCTGTTTTATCTCTCTAGCTTGGATACCGAGCCAACTATGCATCGTTTGGAAGGAGACTCTGAGGTCTACAAGATGATGCAGGAGAACCGTGAAACAAGAGCTCCACCACGGCAGTCCAGCACTTTTCGCTTGCTCCAAGTGGCTCTGGAATTGGATGAAAAAGGTGAAAGATGCAGAGGATGGAAAGGGCATTCATCTATTGATATAAGGAGGGAAGACGATGGCACAATTTGTTTTGCATTTTAATGCACGCGTGTCCAAATCCAGAGTTTTCTGAATCTTCGGTTGTAGTGATTTTTTTTCCCTAATATATGTTATAGAAAAACATACATGCAAAAATTAATCGGATTATGGAAAATGATTCTAGTAGGAGAGATACCATAAAAATGTGCTTGTTTTTCTGTGGACTTTTAAAAATCACAAGCTGGTGGTGGAAAGGAGATGGAACAAACAAACTGGGAAAAATGAGAAACTCTGTGAAATTGAATTTGGTAGATCTGCTCGTAGAATTAGTTGGCACCCCGTAATAATCTCATGGGATAAAAGTATAATTCTTTTCGCTGCTAGTCTGTTCTAGTTTCCTGCTCTGTTTAGACGACTGTGTGTTGTCACAGGGGCAAATAAGGGAGGAGACCCAAATTCAAGAGACAGATAAACCAACATTTTCTGGACGGGCTATAATCTTTGTTGACGGATTAATCAGCAGAAACTCTCAGCTGACGAACTTTAATTGGTAGTGCTGTAGATGAAAGGGGATAGCTGTTTCGGATGGATACTACTTTGTGCTCATATGAAAGGAAATAAATAGAATATTGTAAACAATTATATTTCCCTTCTAAACATATGTAGACAGATTTGCCTGCTAAGTGTAGCACCCTGAAATAACTTCAGCTATTAACACAGAGGAAGGGAAATGAAAAGAGAAACGTGTTCATTCAGTGAAATAATTTTTTTAAGGCTGCAATCCGGGAAATGACAGTTGTAATTTTCACGGAGGAGCAATATATTTAATTTCTGAGTCAATATATATAGGATTGTACATTCTTTAAAACCAGTAATGGGATTCTTACTGTTTGCTTTGGCAGAGGGTGCTGCAACCCACTTCCCCAGCCAGCTCTCTCCCAGTTCGCACAAGCCGGTCAGCAGTTCAGTGGCAGGGAACACCCAGAAGCTGCATATGTGTGAGAAATGCAACAGCAGCATCACGTGAGTATCGCTAATCCTTAAGTAGGGTTGGTACCGAAGGGAACAGAGTAGAGGGGAAGATGCTTTAGCTGGACAAGCAAAGAGAGAGGGACGGGGGGCAATTCGGGGGGGCTGGTCTACAGCAGCGTTATGATGGTTGTGGTCCAGTATATATGGAGGGGATTTCAAGTTGCAGAAAGCTGGAGTTGACTGTCGAGTAGAACAAGGAGGGCTTGTCACTAGACCAGTGTTTGTCAACCTTGGCCACTTGAAGATGGGTGGACTTCATCTCCCAGAATTCCCCAGCCAGCCTGGGGGCTGCTGGCTGGGGA